TTGCATAGGCTAAGCAAATCTTCAACCTTTGAGCTACATTCTTAGCCCAACATTGTTTTGATTATTGTTGTTCTCCATTCAGTTTAATTCTTTTTTATTTTGATAATAACCCTCTTTGATTTATAGTTTTTTTTGGCGGGGGGGTGGGTACCAGGGATTGAACTCGAGGCTTCACACTTGGGAGGCAGGCAGCAGAATCACTGAGCTAAATCCCTGGCCCAATTTATAGATTATTAAAGTCATTTTATTCACTTATAAAATTAACTTGTTTTTTAATTTTGGGGGGCCCTTTTAATTTTTTGTTTTGTTTTTGTACTGGCGATCAAAGCTAGGGAGCACGGGCCGGGGATTTAGCTCAATGGTTCTGCTACCTGCTTTGCAAGCATAAGGTCCTGAGTTCGATCCCCAGAACAAACAAAACAAAACAAAAAGCTTTTTTTTTTTTTTTTATTTTTGATACTGGAAATCAAATTGGAACCTTGCCCTTTCAAGGCAGGTGGCGGCACCACTGAGCTAAATCCCTGGCTCTTGTGTGTGGGTTTTTGGTTTTGTTTTTTTTTTGTACCTGGGATTGAACTCAGGTCCTTGTTGCTTGTGAGGCAGGCCAGAACCACTGAGCTACATCCCCACCCTTGTGTGTGTTTTTTGAGATAGGGTCTTACTCCAGAGTCCCAGCTAGCCTTGAACTTCTTGTATAGTCTAGGCTGGGCTGGATCTTGTGATCTTCCTGCCTCAGCCACTCAAGTAGGTAGGATTACAGGCATGTGTCAACTCTTTTACCCTCCAACTAAATTCTTTTTTTGAGTCAGGGTCTTGCGGTAGTTCAGGTTGGCCTTAACACTCATTATGTAGCCCATGCTGGTCTCAAATTCACAGTGGTCCTCCTGCCTCAGCCTCCTAAGGGCTAGGATTATAGACATGTTCCACTTAACACCCAACTCCAAAACTAAATTCTTACATATTTAATATAGTGAGATACTCGTATAAAAATGAAATCATTAAAACTTGTCTTTGCTCTTTACTCAAATCTTTTCTTTGAACATTTAATTGCTTTATGTAAACCTTTAATTTTATTTCTTTTTTTTTTCAGCTTTAATTGAGTTTATTGGTACATTTTAGGGATACGGTACAGTTACATTCATGTTGGGATCTTGTACCTCTACATGAGAAGTCTTGATTCTCATTTTTTCCCCTTACCTCTTCCCTCCCTTCACCCCCTCCTGCCCTCCCCATCTACAATTAATTTTATTTCTTAGTGTTTTATTTTTTGTGACAATGAATGTGATTTTTTTTTTTTGTAATGGGGACCAAACTCAAGACCTTACACTTGCGAAGCAGGTGGTGGACCACTGAGCTAAATCTCCTGCCCTGAATGTAATTTTTTTTTTTTTTTTTTTTTTTTTGTAGGATCTCACTATGTAGTTAAGACTGACCTGGAACTCACATGTAGCCCAGTTTGGTCTTGAACTCACAGTGATCTTTCTGCCTCAGCCTCACGAGTGCTGGGATTACAGGTGTGTGCCACTACACCTGGATGAATGTGATTTTAAAAAAATTATTATTAGTAGTAGTAGTAGTGGTTTAAAATGCCAGAGTTTCTATATTCATTTTTATGATGGCACTGTTCTAACTTATTTGTTTGATACATGTCCTATTACATTGGCCAGAATTTTCGACACAGTACTGAACAAAAATAGTGATAAATATGACATCCTTGTGTGTTTCTGCATTAAATGTAGCATAATAAATACAATCCTGTGATGGTTGGTACAAAGGAAATGAGTTGTATTTAGGACAAAGAGTATTTCACTTGTTCAGGAAAGGGCCTCTAGGATGACAGTGTGATATTGCCTTGGTTCTTTTTCTTTTCTTTCTTTTTTTGGTACTGGAGATCGAACTTGGGTCCTCGTGCTTGCGAGGCAGGTGGCGGAACCACTGAGCTAAATCCCCGGCCCCATTGCCTTAGTTCTTTAGAGCATGTGAACACTCTTAGGTTCCATTAAGGGGGATATACTAAAAAAGCGCAGTGTCAGAATTTTCTAGAAATCTTAAAATATAGCCAGAGGAGGGTTAGGACTAACATAAAAACATTTCACCAAGCACCTTTGAAGCAAAAAATGTAGTCATGTAGTTAGTTGGTAATACATTTATAGGAATTCAGAAGTTTGGGAGACTTTATGGGCTGTATTTTTTTTTTTTTTTTTTTTTTTTTTTTTTTTTCATTTTTGGTACCAGAGATCAAACTCAGGACCTTGTACTTGCAAGGCTGGTGGTCACACCACTGAGCTAAATCCCTTGCCCTGGGCTGGATTTTTTGATGATGTTGTCCTGATTACTCATAAAACAGAAAAGAGAAGTAAGATTATTACAGTGTCTAGAATAGACATAACCAGAGCATGAAATACATAACTACTGTTATAGGGCTATTCCAAAGATTGCTGCTGGCTTTTGTAAATTATAAGTAAGTTACTTCAAGAGCTTGGCAGTATTTCCCCTGTGAAGAGATGATCAGACTGTGATATGAATATAATAATTTACTGAATCCAAAATGAGATCTCTATTTAATCTACAGTACAGCTATTTCACAGAATATTTCTATATGCCTTTGTTGTTGTTGTTACTATGTTTTGTTCTCTAGCATTGCCTATATTTTGTTATTAGTATGAGGGCATTCAGGAGTGTTTTATTATTTGCAGCAAGGTCATTTAGAATTCTTACACTAAACTCTATATGTGCTATATGCTGTAGAATCCATTGGATGGAGTCAAAGTTTATCAGTTTAACTCAAATTGGAGTAGTAAATATTAAATTCTGCAGAATATAAAAGAAGGGGCTAAACCCTGACTACCACTGTGTCATCCATTACTTAAGAACATTTATTTATTTATAAAAGTTACATTTATTTTCTTAATCCTATTTTTTCCCATGTTGCGGCTTGAACTGGGAGCCTCTTGTATGTTAGGCAAGTTCTGTACTAGTGAGCCAGACTCCCAGCCCCTGTAGAAGTTATTTTTATCATTATTTCATTTTTTTACCTTTATTATCTTATATAAATGTATTTTTTTTAAGATACAAAGAGTTGATATGTAACAAAGGTATGAAAACTGAAATGGGTTCACATTTGTTGGGTCTTACTTCCTGCTTGTGTTGTTTTGGGCTGGGAGTGGCAGCCAGCCCTCCTGCTACCTGCCTGCCTGCCTTTGAGCAGCTGTCCAGCCTCCCAGCACTGCCCGACTTGGAGCCTATGGGGGTAGTAGCACCTAATTCTGTCCTCTCCCATTCTACTGATGTGTACTTGCTCCTCCACCATGCGTCCCATAGACTGGGTTTGTCAGTCAGGGAATTTTTTGGCTTTATGTTGTGATGTTGGTTAGCATGAGGCATTCTCTCTGTTATTACAGATGCAGTGATCAGAACCAAAACAAAGCCAAAACCATTTACTCTCATCAGGGAGCTCGTAGCCTAGTAGAACCCTTAGCTGTAAAGCAAAATTCCAGTTGACCCACAAGTCTGTTTTCTATTAGTATCCTTTCGTTATCATTCCTGCCTAAAAGGTATCAGTGATACCTTCTTGTGAGATACTCTAAAACAAAGCATCCTGCATTCTAGTGTCTTTCCTTGGCCCTCACCTCCTGTATGAGTTCTTTTTTTCTGTTAATGCCACTGTATTGGTACAGCTCACAAAAGTCAACCCTGTACAACACCTGTGTTGCTGGCATTCCTGAATCTTTTTTTGCTGTTACCACTGTCACCTTTCAGCCCTCATTACTTCCAGGTGGAACTTTTATAAGAGTTTGATATTTCTGACTTCATTAGGTATCTCTTCAGAGCAAATCAGTATCAGTGGTAAGTACGACGTTTGAAGTTTTGTTCTGGTCTTGTTAACTGCTTTACTGAAAAAGCCAGGGCTTCTCATTACCTCCAAATAAAGTCTGTTCAGAAAATCAATATACAGTGAGTTGGATATGGTGATATGTGCCTGTGATTCTAGCTGCTTGGGAAGCTCAGGCAGGAGGATTCAAGGCCAGTTTACTGGAGTCCTGTCTTAGAAAAAAAAAGTTAAAAGAAAAGAAAACCTATGCAGAATCTTTAGTCTTTAATAACATGTTCAGATCGTGATCTCTTCTCATTCCCCTTATTGTCCTCCAGACAAAAAGTGCTGTTTTTCTCTCTTCCATTTTAATATCTCATGACTGTGTTTATAGTTTCATTTTTAAGTCCTCTTCTCATGCCAGTTTGTTCAAACCCTTCAGTTTTTGTTTTTCTTTTTTGGTGGTTCTGGAGAATAAACCCTGGGGCCCACATGTTCTAGGCAAGTGCTGTAACGCTGACTACATTCCAAGCTCTTTTTATTTATTTATTTATTTTTGTTTTTTGTTTTTGTACCAGTGTGCTTGCACTTGTGAAGCAGGCACCAGAACCACTGAGCTAAATCCCTGGCCCTCCAAGTCCTTTTCATTTTGAGAGAAGACCTGACTGAGTTGCCCAGGGTGGCTTTGAACTTTTGTTTCTCCTGCCCACAGTACTTTGCATCTGGGATTACAAGAGCGCAGCATCATGCCGGGTTCATACCCATCAGTTCTTGTTGTTTCCTAGTTAGCCTGGAATTATTTCTCTAATCTTTGGATTCTTACAGTCATATTTGTAACATATCTCTGGCATTGCCTTTGTATCACATACATTGATGCCTACATTTTACTGTAGCCAAGTGTCTCGTGGCAGGGGTGCTATTTCATCTTCTTACTCCTTAGCATGAGCTTGGTGCCTTGCCCAAGTACTTGGGACATGTGAGCTAACACAGATGCCACGTGGTTGGTCTGTTCTGTCATCATCAGGGATCACTTTACCAGGTTTTATATATCTGCTGTCTGAAAGAATGTACCAAACTGACTGTTTACCTTACACTGAAGCTCTTCCAGTATTGTGGAGACCGTAGTCACCAGCTGTCAGTGACAGTGTGCTTTGTGTAACAGTGTTCCATTTCCTTTATTCTTGGGCAGGAGAATCAGATGAGAGGGAACAGTCGAAATTGGAGGTTAAAGTTTGGGATCCAAATAGCCCACTTACGGACCGACAGATTGACCAGTTTTTAGTTGTAGCCCGGTGAGTATGGAATTAGCCAATCAAGAAATATTTTTTCTTTTTATGATATAATTTATAGGTATATGTATTTTCCATTCTTTGTAGTTTATCCTGCTATTGGTTATATTATTATTTTTCTAGTTATGTAAGAAAGCTTAATACTGTATATATTATGTCACCTCCTAAAAGTACAATTTGTTATCATTATCAGTATATCAGTTTTAAATGACAATAAGTTTCATTTTTTCCTGAATAGTGAGAACAACAAATTTTTTCACTCTGTAGTTCATGTTCACCTTGAATCCACTATGTATCCCAGGATTGCATTTGAACTTGAAGTGATCCTCCTGCCTCAGTCTCTTGAGTTGTTTTGAGGCAGGGTCTCACTGTGCAGCTAGGTTGGCCTTGAACTTCCTTTGTAGTGCAGGCTGTCCTTGAATTCACAATGTTTTTGCTTCAGCCTTCTGAAAACAGAAATGTATAATGATGAAATTCAACATCTCAATTTCCATGTATTCAATGGTTTCCTTTGCTCTGGACAGGGCTTTCCTAGATTCAAAAATCAGCAGAAATGTGTAGATCAGGTTCTTCTCACTTGTCTCTACACATGCATAAGACCTCTTGCTAAGCCTAGGACATTCCTTTGAGAGTTCAGCCTGGCTGGCCCACCTTTTCCCTCTTTGCTTGAGATAATGAATGAGCAGAAGTTTATTTTCTGTAGATTTAGAAATAGAAATGAACTGCAGGTGGAACCCCTGGGCTAGAGACTCCAAAAAAGGATTCTGAATTTTACATTGTTTAGGAGATAATGAAATTATCATATTTAATTTGCATTGTTTGTGTGTTTTGTACCTGGGATCTAACTCAGTAAGTACTTTGCCCTTTTGAGGCAGGTGAGGTGCTGCTAAGCTAAATTCCTGGCCCTTTTTCCTTTTCCTTTTTATTTTTTTTTTGAGATTCTGGGGATCGAACTCAGCACCTTGGCAGCAGAACTACTGAGCTAGATCCCTGGTCCCTTTTTTCTGATTGCCAAGTACTATATGTTTTCTTTTTCCTTTAAGCTAGAATGAGGGTTACTGAGGAATGTATCTTGTATCTTTTTTCTGGCAATATTTGTTTTGAAAAATAATCTGGTAAATATAAATTAAAGCCAATTTTGTTTTGTTTTTTTGAGACCAGGCCTTGCTTTGCAGTTTGGGCTGGTCTTGAACTCATTGTGTAGCCAGTCTGGCCTTTAACTCACAGTGATCCTCCTGCCTCAGCTTCCCAAGTGCTGTGATCATAGGTGTGTGGCACCATGTCCAGCTTGCTTTTGTTTAATTTTGGGGTTTTGTGGGGTTTTTTGGTACTGGGTATAGAACAAGGGACCTTGTGCTTGCAGGCAGGTGGGGGAACCACTGAGCTAAATCCCCAGTCCTTGCTTTTGTTTTTTGAGACAGGGTCTCACTTTGTACGTCAAGTTGGCTTGAACTCACTATGTAGCCCAGGCTGGACTTGACTGCCTAGAGCCTGCCTCAGCTTCCCAAGTATTGGACTCACAGGCCTGTGCCACCATACCTGGCCCAGACCAACTATTTATTGATTGTTGGTGTTTTGTTTTGTTTTGTTTTTTTTTGGTACCAGGGATTGAACTTGGGTCCTTGCGCTAGCAAGGCAGGCCACCAAACCTGCTGAGCTAAATCCCCAGCCGATTGTTGGTGTTTTGATACAGAATCTTGCTATACACAGTTCAGGCTGGCCTTGAACTCACTATGTATCCCAGGCTGGCCTCAGCCTCCCCAGTACTGTATTACAGATGTGTGCCATCACCCCTGGCAAGGCCAAATTTTAAAGTGCCAGGGAGTAATGAAGATATAAAACAGCCAGTATTCTCATACCCAGTTTGTATTTCTATAAGCTGGTCCAGCTGCTTTGGCAAAGTATTTACAGTATACCCATACAACGTTGTCATTGAGGGTTTGCACCTCAGTTCTTTTGAGGTATTTTCCTTAGAACCTAACTAATACCTGGACAGGGTGGCACATGCCTGTGATGTAAGCAGTGAAGAGGCACAGGCAGGATTCCTGTGAGTTCGAGGTCAGCCTGTGCTACAGAGTGATTTCAAGGCCAGCCTGAACTACATAGACCCTTTTCTCAAAAAATCAACCAACGAACAAAACAGCAAAACAAAAACACCTAATAATTGGTCCTGTAAACACCTCCCACCACCACCACCACCATGTCTTGACAACTACAAATATCCTCTGCAATTGTGCTTTTGACAGAAAGTTTGCAAGTAGCTAGTAGGTAGGAGAGCCTTATTCAGTTCTCCTTGCTGCTGATTGGCTGCTTCCTGTAATCCATCTCCAGCAGCTATACCAGCATTCATAACAGGTTGCTCTACTGCATGTAGCTATCTTGAGTGTTCTCAGTTTTGTTCTCCTTGAAGCTCTAAGATCCCTAAAATGGTGCCAAAATGCCCTGCACATTCTAAGGCTATATTAGTACAATATTTTATTAAGTTAAATTGTATAACTGCAGGAGACATAGCATTCTTGGGGTTTAAACTATAAAAATAGGAATTTATGGGCATTTTTTCTCACCATATCTGAAATTTGGGGTTTTTCTCAATTCACAGATGTTCTAGGAACATAACTCCCACAAATTTTGGGAGTCCACAGCACTATCATTTAATGCACATCCCTTGAGTTTCACTTCTAAAAATTACACTCAGCAGAAATGCATACAAATGTGTACTCCCATGGCATTAGTGGCATTATTCATCCGGAAACAGCATGTACTGTTGATCAGGAGTGTAGGAGGCTGTGGAGAGTTTGGGACCCAAAACAATGCTCCATAGCAAGGAAAATGAATGAATATATAATAATAGCTCCATTTGACAATATCGATGACTCTGCAAACATAATTTTAAACTAAGGAAGCTGAACATTAAAAAAAGTATCCTTACTGTGTGAGCAAAACTAATAAGTGGTGTTGTAATCCAGGATAGTGATCCCTGTTGGGAAGGAAGATGAGAATAGGAGATGAGATGGTACATAAAAGTGTTCTGGGGCTGTTTGCTTTCTGTTTCTGAGTGTACTCACTTTGTGATGACTAAAGTGTAATTGTGGGTAATTTTGAGGGTATGTTATTTTAATTGAAGTGCTGAAAATATCTTTTCAGCTAAAATGTGGACAATAAGCAGGAAGTCTTATCTTCATGTACTTCTTGAGGTTAAGGTGCTGCTCTGCATTACAGCAAGTCCTTCCAAATTGTTATAAGTGAAAATCAACGTGGTGGAAATTGCCTTCCCTTTTAAAAGAGGATTTAATAGAAGTCTGTTATATATTGAGTTATCATAGGAAGGGATTGCTAGCTAATGATGTGTCATACTAAGGGAAAAAGCGTTATTGGGATTTCATGATTTGGGAAGGAGCAGGTCATGATTTGCACTTTTTGAGCAATTTGATACTAAATGATTTATTCAGTGGTGTGTGTGTGTACTGGAAATTGAACTCAGGACCTTGTGCTTGCCAGGCAGGCACGGCACCACCGAGCTATATGCCCAAGCCCCTCAGTGGCATTTTATAATAGATCTCCTCTTCCTCCTTTATGTCCACTCGGTTATTTTTCCTTGATTTAGTTAAAATTAACCTCTATAGGTAGTAAATTGACTTGTCAGTTTCAGAATAGTGTCTCTTATCCAAATGCTTGGAACAAAAAGTGTTTCAGATTTCATTTTTTTTATTATTATTTTTTGGTACTGGGGATTCAGATTTCAATTTTTGAATTTTGGAATATGTACATATACATAAGGAGATACCTTGGGGATAGGTCCCAAGTGTAAATAAGAAAACTGTTTTATGCTTCATATACACTGCATATATATTGCAATGTTTTCAGTAATTTTTTATATGAAAAACTTCAGGATGTGGAATTTTCCACTTGCATATGCTCAGTAGAGTTTTAGGTTTTGGAACATTTGATTTTCAAATTGTGATTGTTCAGCTCATATCAAATCTCATAAAGAATACTTTTCATTTGATTCTCAAACATCCAACAACTTATTTGCCTTTTCTTTCACACCTTTTCATTCAGTGCTCAAATTTGTTTTTTAAAACAAAATCAGAAGCATAATGTTTCCTCTTTGTGCTTGTTTTCTTTAGTGCTGTTGGGACATTTGCTCGAGCCCTCGATTGCAGCAGCTCTGTGAGGCAGCCGAGCTTGCACATGAGCGCAGCTGCTGCTTCCCGAGACATCACCTTGGTAAGATGCTTTCTGAAATTTTGAGGTTTTGGTTTTGCTACTTGTCTAATTAGAAAGGCATTACGGCTGGGCATGGTGGATGAAGCAGGAGGATCACTGCAAGTTCAAGGCCAGCTTGTGCTATACATAAGGAGTTCTGAGCATCTGGAATACATAAAAGATCTTGTCTCAACCCCCCCCCCCCAAAGAGGAAGAAAGAATGAACCAGTGATTATAGCAATGTTACGGATGTAAGCTCTTTCTAGCTCTTAGCCCTGCTGACTACTCTGTTGATTTGTGTGGATAATTGGTTAACTATCACCAAGGTCACCTCTTTTGTGAACTGAGACAAATAAGAATGACTGTTCCATGGAGTAGGTTTAAAGGGGATAAAAGCAATTTTGGGGGGAAACAGTTCACCATTCTGACATTCCTGCTTTCACAATATGCTTGTTTTCTGCTCTACGTCTGTCTGTCTGTCTCTGTCTGTCTGTCTATCTATCTATCTATCTACCTATCTATCTATCTATTTATTTGAGGCAGGGGTCTCACTATGTAGTTGAGACTGACCTGGAACTCACTATGTAGCGAGGCTGGTCTTGAACTCACAGTGATCCTCCTGCCTCAGCCTCCCAAGTGCTGGGATTACAGTCGTGTGCCATCACACCTGGCTCTGTGTTACGTCTATATACTCAGTTAGATCATCATGTTTCACCTTTTTTTTTAATGTCAAAACAACCACATCTTGAAACTGTTGCTTTTGTATTTATTTTGCTGTATGTCAATGTTTAAAATGTCAGTGTTTAAAGCTTTGTGTGTTTAGATTAGAAAGAGACTCATTTCTTATTTGGTTACATTATGGTTGTTGTTTTCTAAATCTGTTTTAATTGTTCCCTTGGTGGTCAGTTGAAGCTTGTCTTCCTCACTTAGCTATACCACTCTGCCATTTGTGCTCCACATGTGTTGGAGATTTCTTCTTTCTCTGCACTTCTAAAACAGTAGACCTGTGGGTCAATTGAAGTTATTTATTTTATTTGGTCCCCATAATCTTTCTTTTTTCTGGTACCGGGGATTGAACTCAGGATCTTGTGCTTGCAAGGCAAGGGTGGTGCCACTGAGCTAAATCTCCGGCCCAGTCCGCATAGTCTTTTGTGAGAGGCATGGTGGTGTGCTTGTCTTACAGGAAACTGAGGTTTGGTGAGGTTAAGCTATTTGAAGAATACCTCCATATAACAAAAGTTTGTTTTGTTTTCTGATTTTTTGATGGGATTTGAATACAGTGATGGTTATTATTACTTTGTGATTATATTCAATTTGAGATGCTTTCCACAAAATGTTGATAATGCAAAGTGCATATTGAACTGCATAGCATATTTTTAAGAATTGTTTATTTATGTTTGTGGTACTGGGGACAGAACTCGGGACCTTGCGCTTGCAAGGCAGGCACAGTGCTACTGAGCTAAATCCTTAGCCCTATTTTTTTATTTTCAATTTTTTGGTACTAGGGATCAAACTTAGGACCTTGTGCTTGTGAGGCAGGCAGCGGCACCAGTGAGCTAAATACCCGGCCCCTATCATGTTTTTTTTTTATATCAAATGTAATGCATTTTTCAGCATATTAAAGTATATATTTTTGTGCCATTACAAATTGTGATGAAAGCATTAGTAGTCTATAGCCATTGTGGAACTTCTTTCTTCCTTTGTCCTTTCTTAAAGACTAGAATTCTTGTTTAGTACAAAACAAGAGGTCTTGTTCTCTCCATTGCTACATAAGTACTTTGTACAGAAGTTTAGGAGTTCCAAAATAGGTTTATATTTTGTTTGTTTACAACTGGGAGGGTATCTGCCTGTAGAAGCAAGAGTATAGATATCATGATTATATAAACTTTCAAATAAATACTGGATACTTTTATGACCTGAACTGCATGGAACCTGTGTATTTAGAACTGTTTACCCCAACCCTAAATTTTTTTTTTTTTTTTGAGACAGGGTCTCACTGCACAATTGAGACTGACCTGGAACTCACTATGTAGCCCAGGCTGGTCTTGAACTCACAGCAATCCTCCTGCCTCAGCCTCCCAAGTGCTGGGATTACAGGCGTGAGCCGCCACAGCTGGCTTTTTTTTAATGCACTGTAAACTGTAATACAGTAATAATACATTACAGAATAGGACTGAGGATACTGTAATAAAATGCATAAAATGCCATTTTAAATACTAATATTTTTCTTCAGATTAAAATTTTTTTCAACTATTGTAGTTAAATGTTGAAGTCCCTAGTATTCTTTAAATCCGAATCCAAATCTTCCATCTGTGCCTCTTGTTAATTGCAATCCCTCCACCTCCTGTTAAGAGGTAGCTGCTATAAAAAATCTGTACATATCTAGGTTGTGTTTTTTATAGTTCTACTATGTATTCATGTATTTATATTTCCAGAAATATTTATTGTGTAACATTTTGCCTTTTACCTTTACTGACATCTAGCCACATTAATACATACACGCCTAGTTCATTCATTTCAACTGCTTTGTAATATTTGTGTGTTCTTTCATATAATATTGTACCACATTGTGTCTGTGCTTGTGCATGTATTTTTTTCTTTTGCTTAAAATGGTAGAAATCTGTAGCAGAATGCTGAATGTCAAAAATTCAGATTCAGGCTATGAGCAAGGCTCAACTCCTTCTTGAAGCCCTAGGAGAGTAGCTTTCTTTCCTTTGGCTGCCGGTGGTTTTCAGTCTTCCTAGGGGCTTGTGGCTTCATAATCCAATCTTTGCTTCTGTGGTTGCTTGAAGTTCTGCCTGTGTCCTATTTTTCCTAATAGTTTAAAATTATTATTCATATTTATGATTATCATTACATTTGGAGTGTCTTTGAGTGGAGTGAAGTATGGATCTAATTTTTCCCCATATGTTAAACTAATTCCAACACCTTTTATTGAATTTGTTGTTTCTTCATGATTTGTAATTCTCCTTGCATTATGTTTCAAGGATTTTAGATATATAGGCCTGCTTCTGGGCTCCCAGAATATTCTCTTCTGTTTTATTGATCTACTTGTTACTCAGAAAACAATACGACACCCTAATAAACATCACTGACTGATAAGCCAAGTCTCATATGCACTTTGCTTTTAACAGAGTTGAGGTCTCTAAAAACATGGAGTTTTATGGTTCCTCTTCCGCCTATATTTTCTTTAACCATGTAATGTAAACTCATTTTCTACTGTGTCCTTTTTGGAAGGTGGACAGGAAGTGATTGTAGGGCCTTGCACATGCTATAAACATGTGCTCTTCTGCTGAGTTCTACATCTACCCAGCAAATATTTTTTTCTTAATGTAAGAACCTAGGAGGTCATTTTTTCTAATGTTGCATGTCTTCCTACAGTATTATTATTTAAGTAGTCCCTTGTAGTTTTATTTATTTTATTTTATTTTTGGTACTGGGGATTGAACTCAGCACCTTCCGCTTAATGAGGCAGGTGACAGAACCACTGAGCTAAATCCCTGGCCCTCCCTTGTAGTTTAGTGCTATTGTGAAGTGGTACTTCTTTGATGATAACTGGATGCTGTCCTGTCTCAGTCCAGTAAATTCTGTCTACCCTGCTGGAGGAGTGAGTGTGGAAAAGCCTGTGCTTGAGGTATCAGGCTGTTGTGACAGTGGGCTGTTGGGGCAGATTTGCCTGTAGGTGGGGTGCCAGGCACACTTTGTGGGCTCCTGGTTCACAGATGTGGTGTCTCTCTGCTTCCCACTGCTGGTGAATGTAAGGGATAGTAACTTAATTTCTTCAGAGCAAGGCCAGTTTTCAGGATTCAGTGCTTTTTTCTATCAGTGAGGGCTGATTTTATGTACATACATATATACACATACACATATTACCCCCCCATGGGGTTTTACTATGTTGCCCAGATTTTCTCAAATTTCTAGGCTGAAATGATTCCCTGCCTTAGCCTTCCGAGTAGTTGGGATCACAGGCCCGTGGCTAAAGCCTATTTATGAAAGAAGCTTCTTAAGAGGACACTTACAAATGTGCCTCTGTTCAATATTATTTTGTGTGTTTTCTGTTACTGTTGCCTATTATGTTCTCCTCCCAGCTCTCCAATGTTACTATCCACATTTTGTTGTTTCTTTTGGTATGCAGTAATTTGGAAGTCATTTTTGTATCACATACATTATCTTAAAATGATAAATTAGTATTATTTTTTATGCAGAAGTAGGCTTAGAGATCAGGAAGTTGTGTTTGTCATATTCAGTATTTGGTTTCAGAGACATGTTGTTGGGATGTGTCCTTCCTATTAACCCACCAGGTTACTCTTTTTTTTTTAATAGTGCTGGGGATTGGACCACATTAGGCTGCCTCTTTAGCTCTTTTTAATATTTAAATTTTGAGACAGGGTCTCCTTAAGTCGCTAAGTTACCCAAACTGTGCTTGAACTTGTGATCCTCCTGCTTCAACCTCCCAAAGTGCTGGGATTAGTATTCACCATGGAGTCTTGTCTACCATATTACTTATTAAACCTTCTGCTTCTTTCTCTTTATAGTGGCATTTAAAGATCATCAGTTTGATTAGATAGCACTGAAGAAGATTGATGATTGATTAACTGATTGATTTGTCATCTGCAGTGCCTAAATGTCTTAGTTTCTGTTTGAAGTGCTATGGGTTCAGCTTTACTTGGCCTCTTAGATACTGGATATGTCCATGAAAATGAGTGGGCATGGTTAAAAATTGATTATTCACTGTTGATAAAGAGTTTTGTAGCTTGCTCCAAGAAAGAACATTTTTTGCCATTAAATGAGGATAGCCTCTCCATTTGGAGAGTGAAATTCTTTTCTTTCAGTGTTTATGTTCCTATGCCGATGAGCTTAGCTCCTTTCAGCAGTAGGTGACCAACAGCTTCTGAAGTCTCCTGCTGCATAAGGCAGAAGGGCACGGCTTGGCAATGTTGGAACCCTGGCAGCCTTTCACAGGTGATTTTCTTTGTGACTTACTGAAAGAACTGCAGTGGGCTTTTAGCATTTCTAATCAA